ATTTACTACAAATAGTCACAATAATTTCAACCTTCATGTTTCTTCGGTCATTAATCACAACCATTCACTTCTTATAAATTCTTAAGGATTTATTTTATGCGTCAATTTGAGATCATTAAATTTTTTTGTAAACGATTAATCTCCAATCCGTTGATATGGTTCGCCGAAGTTCATAGCATGAAAATTTAGGTATTTGCTTTCTATTAAAATAAGAAGAAGAAAAAACAGAGAAATGTGCAATTAAGAGTGCTTTACTTCACACAAAAAACTTCTATATATAGTGCACCAGAGTTTTCATCTCTTTTTTTTTTTTTTGGTTTCTTCAATTAATTTCTTTTGTGTTTTCATTGGAGAAAGAATTTTATAATTAGTGTTAGCATAACAAGTGAATAGTGACGAATACACACATTGTGAATTATTTTTTCTAATAAAACTAATAGATCAAGTTGTGGTAGAGACAATAATAATACTTTCTCCGTCCCATTTTATGTGGCACCATTTCCTTTTTGGTCAGTCCCAAAATGAATGTCACATTTCCATATATGGTAAGTATTTAAAGGTACAATTCATCTTTTACCCTTGTTGGTCCCACTTAATCTTAAAGATAATACTCCAATACATTTATGAGGAGAGATAAAAGTGAGTCTACTTTTTAATATGACTATTTTTTGAAGGTCAATTTGGTAAACATTTCAAAGTCTTCATTTATTTCTTAAACTCCGTACCCGGTAAATGTTGCCACATAAAATGGGATGGAGGGAGTAATAAATAAATACAAAAAAGAACATGATCTTCTTTATTTATCCATTTTTTATTCTTTTACCCTCAAACGAAGGAGTTTCTTCCTAATTTTTCTAAAATAACGGGCATCAATGTAGTCCATTGAATTATTACTTTTGATGTTAAGTCCATTATTTCAAAAATAGATTTTCCCTTTTGCTTATAATATGATAATATAGCCATGATATTAATTTTTTTAATAGATATGTAAGTAAAAATAAATGGAGAAAGTAAAGTATTGTTGGGAAGAGATTTCAATCTAATGGAACACTAGAGTGAATATAACATGAACATATATTTTCGTCTTCCTTCTTCATTGGCTATGAATTGTGTTCCATATATTATTTCATTTTTATATGTTTTTATATTGAGTATAAAAATTTAGGTATGAATTTCGTGTTATTTTGTGTTCATTTTAATCTAGGAAAATGTTATGTCACAAGATACACTCCTTGCTAGCTATATAAAAATAGATAAGAAAATAGTGATTGATCATAAAATTATCTTAAATAAAATTAATGATTCTATAAATAATACTTTAAATTTTATTCATATATCACTTTTTTTATTGAAAAAGTTTAATGTTTTATATCACGATACAACTTCTATAATATACCAGATACTTTCATTAGACAATAACTATATGATATGTATGCAGTAGAAAAAGGAGAAGACTACAATTCCGCAAAGATAAGTTAAGAAACTTAAAAAAATGAAATATTTTTCACCATAGGTGATGTTGTTCATATATTAACATTATATATATATAAAACAAAGAATTGGTCAAGCTAAATATTTTGACATACATTATAAGAACATTTCACTGTAACATCCTAATTTTTTTAAAACTAATTTTTGATGTTATCTTTTTTATCTATATAAAATTCTACTTATAACAGTGTAGACATCCACTATAGAAGTGCACCTTTTTGTAAAATTACCTCTCTATGATAGCCTTACTCAAATATTAATTGAGTAAAAATATTTTCTAACAATATATATATATATATATATATGTATATATTGCGTATAAAGATAAAATATTGAAATATTTGTGGCAATCGTCAGGGGAGGACCCACCTTATATCAAGGGGGGTCAGCCGACACGGCTTCGTTGAATTTTATTAGTATATATATATAAATCTGAAAAAATAAAAACAGAACTGTAAATATTATAAATGACACTCCTTGAACAAGGAAGCGCCATGGCTCGTTGGTTCATGCTGCGAACGAAGCTATCATGTCATTCAACATACCCGAGTTCGAATCTCAGTAGGTGCGTTTTTTGCTTTTAATTTTTGAGCATTTTTTCAGAGAAAAAGAGAAAAGTTTAAGAAGGATTCCAACCTCCAACCTCCCTATTCCTACTCAAATTAGGCTAAAGCAACCCAGTTAAACTAGAATACTACATATAACCTACTATAGAAATTTAATTACTTATTCAAATCAGAATTGGATACAATAATAAGTTATAAAGTAAAATCTAAGTTGAAAAGAAACCTTTAAATTTAAGTGTTGTTGCGGTCTGCGTTGATAGCTTGATGCTACTGTCATTTTTTCTTTAATTATAAGTTCTCTTTTCTTTTTATCTCCCATCTTTTTAGTTTTCATTGAAATTTCTTGAAATATCAACTTTTATAGATTTAATTTCTTGAAATTGTTTAGAGTTATCTAATTTATTTAAATTTTCAATTCAAACCAATTCAATGGAGAGATATTATTTTAAAGTATCTTGCAATCTTTCAAAATCAAGTTCAACACCTCAAAATTCTTTTAACTAAGAAGAAGAAAACGGTAATGAGGAACAAGGTCGACAAAGTGAAAGAGTTGATTTATGATCTTAGGCATATTTATATACCTAAGTAGTCGAAATTGGCCTACGAAGTGATGATGTTTGATGACAATCTTGATTTATTAGCTTGAATTCTAGTTTAAATTATTATGATTGCATACTTACACACGTGATTAGTTGTTTCAGGAAATATTGATGGAATATGAATTGGGAAGAGGGAAGAAGGAGCAAGGAGATGCAGGAAAATGGCTAAGGCAGCAATCACCAGTGGTTGGCGCACTGGTTGGCACGGCGCGCCACTGATGGTACGTCAGAGAGCCTGTTGAGGCGTACTGAGAGGCGCGACGCGCCAGAAGGGAAACCTCAGAGGCACTGCTCAGGCGCGATGCGCCAGGAGCAAAATGAGGAAAGAAACCTTGAGGCACGATAAGGTGCGCGACACGCCACCTGTTCTCCGACGTTTTCAAGTTTTTAACATAAGATAGGATTTCTAATTTGAGTGGGATTGGTTACCAACTTGTCCTACTAGTATAAATAGATCCTTAGGGATCCAAAAAGGAGAACGAGTTTTGATTTAGTGTGCAAGGGCAAGAATTCAAGTTTGTAATAGGCTTTGATCCTTTAACTCTTCTTTTTTTTGGAAATTGCATGAAATATAGTATTTTCTTGTTTTCTAATAGCATGAGTAGCTAAACGCCTTAGTTCTGGGGCTGAAGCTACGAATTATGTGTTGAATGTTTGAGGCTTTATGAATTGATTTTCGGTTGTCAATCCAAATTACTTCTATATTCTTGTTTTACTATTTTATGCTTGCGCACCATAGAATAAATCTAGTGTCTAATATTAAAATCAAAAGAGGAGGGATTAGATAGACCAGAGAATATAGAGAGCTCGGTCCACCCATTAAATTGAGGTGATTAGTGTTCAGGAGTGACACCCAGACGAACACCTTGCTTGGTTACGAAATAGGATGAAATATACATGCTCGCTAGTTAGTTTATTTATCCCCGCTCAACGATGTAGTTAGATGGCTAACTGGGGTAGGCGGCGAGAGGCGAACCACCCGGACCATACTATCAACCCTATAAACCAGTAATTTGACAACTGAAGTGATTTCTAAGACGATGATATGATGCATGATATTCAATGTATGTTGCAGCCCTGGAATTGTTTTTAAACTTGCTTGAATCATATTAGATCAAATTTGTTCACAATTAGTTAATTTCAATTAGTGCATAATTATTCGTAGATACTTAACTAAATCACAACTCTTAAAAAGGTTATTTGGTTACTTTTAGTTGTAGAATTGAGTGAATATAAGTTGATCATAAGTCCCTTGGGAACGATAACTCGTTTCTTGAATAATCTATACTACTTATACGACCATGTACACTTGCGTGTATTTTGGGAGTAACAATTTAACTTCCTTAAAATTTAATCCCGGAGAAAGGTTACCAATTTGAAAGTATCATCCGCATGAGCGTGATGCAGTAAGAAGAATGTATCTTCAAAATGGTCATTTTCAACCAAAAAATCATCAATTTCCTCAGTCAGATTTTTATGGTGACTTACGTCGTTTTAATGTTGAATGGTTTCGTGAGTATGATTGGATGGAGTATAGTGTAACAAAAGATGCAGCATTTTGTATCTATTGTTATTTGTTTCAAGATGAAAGCATTAATCAAGGAGGAGGCGATGTATTTTCAACCATAGGGTTTACAAGTTGGAATAAGAATCACAACCTTGATGTGCATATTGGTAAGCAACAGTGTTCATAATCAATCGAGACGAAATTGTGAAGATTTATTAAGACAAAAGCAATCCATTCAAAGTGCAGTTGCTAAAAAATCTTATCAGGAAAAGTTAGAATATCGTACTCGTTTGAAAGTTGCAATTAATGTGATAAGATATCTTTTGAAGCAAGGATTGTCATTTCGGGGCCATCGTGAAGATGTATCCTCTTCTAATAGAGGTAATTATATTGAGCTCCTTACTTGGTATGCGAAGCTATGTGATAATATTGACAATGCATTTAAAAAAGCTTCAAAGAATAATCAACTAACTTCTCCACGTATTCAAAAAGATATTATCAATGCATGTAAGATTGAAACAATTAAGTGTATAATTGAGAATTTAAATGATGATCAATTTTCCATCCTAGTTGATGAATCTCGTGATATTTCATGTAAGGAGCAAATGGCTATTGTCTTACGATATGTTGATAGAAGGGGAAGTGTGATGGAATGATTTCTTGGTATTGTTCATGTTTGTGATACTACTGCTTTGTCTTTAAAGAATGGAATTATTGGTTTACTTGCTCAACATTCTTTAAGTCAATCTTTTATACGTGGACAATGTTATGATGGAGCGAATAATATGCAAGATGATATAAATGGGCTAAAAAAATTGATGCAACAAGAAAGTAAAGGTGCTCATTCTATTCATTGTTTTGCTCATCAACTTCAATTAACTTTTGTTGCGGTTTCTAGAAGATGTGATGAAGTGCAAGAACTTTTATTATTGGTTTTTGATATACTAAATATGGTGGGAGCTTCTTTCAAGCGTAGAGATGAACTTCGCGAAGCTCAAGCAAAAGAAATTGAAAAGGCATTACATAAAGGTGAACTTGAAACTGGTAAGGGCTTGAATCAAGAATTAGGTCTTGCTAGAGCAGGTGATACTCGATGGGGATCTCATTACAAATCTTTTAACAATTTTATCCTCATGTTTGGTCCTATCATTGATGTACTTGATGATATTGCTACTAATACTCGTTTTGAAGAGAAATATAGGGCAAAAGGATATCTTATAGAATGTTTAACATTTGATGTTGTCTTCATGTTGCATTTCATGCGCATTGTTTTAGCAATTACAAATGATCTAAATGTTGCTTTTCAAAAGAAAGAGCAAGACATTGCAAATGCCATCTTACTCATTGGAGTGGCAAAGAATTGATTGCAACAACTATGAGATGAAGGTTGGGATTCACTTATGAATGAGGTATATAAGTTTTGTATCAAATATGATATTTTGATACCTAAATTTGATGAGCTTTATGTTATCCGTGGAAGATCACGTTGTAGAATTGTTGAGTATACTATTTTACATCACTATCAAGTTGAAGTATTTTATAAAATTATTGATTGGCAACGTCAAGAACTCAATAATCGCTTTGATGTGGTGACAACTGATTTGCTTCTGGGAATTGCTTGCTTGAACCCAGTTGATTCTTTTTCTAACTTTGAGATGGAAAAGATATTGTGATTGGCTGAGTTATAACCTGATGATTTTGATAAATACTCTATAGTTGACCTTCGCTTTTAGCTTGAAAATTACATTGTTGATGTTAGAGATCATGATAAAAGGTTCTTTGGTCTTAAGGGACTTTCTAATCTTTCCAAGATACTAGTAGATACGAAAAAACACAGAACTTATCCTCTTGTGTTTCGACTAGTTAACTTTGCTTTACTTTTGCCGGTGGCTACTGCTACAGTTCAAAGAGCTTTCTCGACAATGAAGTTGATTAAGACTGATTTACGAAATCGAATGGATGATGAGTTTTTGAGTGGTTGTTTGGTGCCTTATATAGAGAAAGAAATATTTAGTACTATCCCCAATGAGGCTATTATGAATACATTTCAAAATATGAAAACTCGTCGAGGAGAGTTGTAGTAGTTTACTTGATTTATGTTTTATTAGTACATTTTTAATTAATTTTTATTAATTTAATAGTTTTATATCAATTATTTATTATTTTATTATTTTTAAATATAAACACCACTTACAAAAAATTCTACGTGGCAATCGTTATTAGTGTCATGCACATACTAAATTTCAATTATGAATATTTAAGAGAAAAATTATACTTCAATGATGTCCATCATTTATGGCGATAACCTTAAAACGAAAAGCTATTGGTGACAGTTTTTATATTGATATTTTTTTTCTATTTTGTTTGTTAAATTTGTTTACAAAATTGAGTGAAGGAAAAATACTACTAAAGAAATGTCACTTTCTCCCGGTATTTAAACTTTTAATGTATGTTGAAATGTTTCCATGATTTCTGGTTATTTTGATCTCAAAAAGCAAGTAATTCTATGACAATATGTATTAATCATTTAAAATTACTTTTTCTATGTTCTTGCAATTATAATCATCTACTAAAAAAGGTTTAATATAGTAATATTAATTTCATTTTACAACATCGTATATTATATTATACGATACACACATGCATCGCACCTGCCGTGAAACTAGTTTAAATATATACCCTATGAAAAAATTAGAATATCATTGTATTTAAAAAGTTATGATATTTGAATTCAAACTTAAATGAAATTTGAATTGTAATAGAGTTTTCACTTCTTAGCTTCTCCGATATATACTCCTAAAGTTATTATAATATTATGTTTATTTCTCCTATTTTTTGTTATTAATCATTAGTTTTATTTGTGAATTTATTTACTGCATTCTTCATATTCTTAATTGGTGAATTTATTTATTGCATTCTTCAATATTCTTCATTTTCTATTAATGTTATCTGATAATTGTATGATTCGTTGTCTATTCATGTTCATATGGTTTTGGTATGGGAAATTGGGAGGTGCGAGGGGGGAGGGGGTGGGGAAGGGGGAGTACGTTTCATTGAGAAACAATATAATAGTTTGTTTTTTTTATATATAAAATGATATCTTTTAAAATGTTTGAACAAAACATCAAATAAAAAATGCTTCAAAATAAAATTTTAATATTATATGCGCATCGTGCGGGTACGTATTCTAGTTGAACTAAAAAAGAAAAAGTTAAAAAAGAAGAGAGAGGAGGGATTGACCCATTTTTTTTCTAAAAATGGGACCCAATAATCCACTTGCCATTATGTGAAAGGAGCCTCATACAAATTTTATCTGACACATCATATTATACTTCAGATATAATAATTTTTTCGCCAGATGATCAAAGGCTGAGAATAGCTAACAGTCGGTGGCATTGGCGATGATAGAGTACAGGGTCGCACTGACAAAGTTGGAATAAAGAAGATAGGGACCTATTTATTATATTTATACCAGCATGGTAGTGTTACATCTTTGCTGGTAGTACATAGATTGAGTTGAATTGATTTTCAGATACCAAATAAAATTATTTGTGTTGGGTTTTGAAATCTATAAATCAAATCAAATTAATAAAACTCAATTTTTTCAATCTTGAATTTTTTTTTTGGGCTTCAGATTTTCTTGGTAAAGTATTCATACAAACATATAATTAATTTGCGCTTCAAATATTTTTTTTAGTCCTATCAAAATATAATATGAGTGATGATATTAAAATATTCAACAAAGATAACAACGAAATCACATAAAACAAAAATTGCAAATGAATAAATTTAATTGAAAATGATCATAACTTTAAAGTACTAAACCATGTCAAAATAAGTATTAATATATGACTAAATATTAAAAAAAAATTAAAATTAGGATATGTAATTTAATTATCTAACCAATATATAACTAAAGAACAAATATTTAACATTATTGTCATTTCTAGTATTGAATTGATTTTGTTTTGTTAGCATTAGTATTGATTTTATTTGGTTTGAGTTTTATTAGAGTTATTAATATATACCTAGGGTGTCTGTAACACCCATAAATTTTTTGGGCTAAGACTTGAATCATCCTTCGTAGTGAGTAAGTTCTACCAAGGAATTAAAAATTTCTTAAGTGTTAAGGTCACTAGATGTAGTACCTTGAGTTTCAAGAAGAACTAAAGAGAGTTCACTCAAGTCATTCCTAAGTTCTTCTAAGATTTGGGTCAACTTCAAATGACCATAACCTTTAGTACAGAATGAGTTAGGTGGTTTACAAGGTATTAAATGAAAGGTCGTTGAATTATCTTTCCAACGCCACCGAGTTTGCTAAGTTTTGAGCATGTATGAGGGAGATATATCCGTTTGAAGTCGGACTGTCCAAATAAGGAAAGTTACCCGAAAATAGTAAGGGATATTTTGGTCTTTTCCTTACCCAATCAGATTTAATTCATCTTTAGTAAGGTTTTAGGGGTCTAATATGATTAGGTTCAGTTTTATAATCCTAATATACGCCTAGGGTTTTAGTTGAGAGTTCAAGAAGTGAAAATAGCAGAAAAGAGGAGAGGATCAAAGCATTCGTCGAGGTTCTTGAGTTTTGTTGCGGATTTTCGCCATGGATTTGATCCCTAAGAGGTATGTAAGCTTCCATAGTTCTGGATTTATTCACCCACACACCAATCATGTTAATTTCAGTGTTAAGTTCGTTCTAGAAAGTTGAAGGTTTGATGTTCTTGAATTGTGTTCTTGAAATTGACTTCCGTTCATGAGTTAAGATAAGATTGATGAGTTTCTTGAGGAAATCGTGTCGATTTTAGAGTTGTGTTTGATTAGATTATTGTGTACATGTAGTGGGTATCTGAATCTAAAGAGAAATTGAGGAAAATAATTGAATTTAGGCGAATTGGGGTTAGAAAATGAAGAAGGAAAAAGCCGGGCAAATCTGGGTACCAGGTCCGCGACGCGGACCTGTTCCTCAGAAATAGAACTTTTCTCTCTGCGTCAGGGAGAGGTCACGGACCCCTCTGCCAAAAAAGTTATTTCGCGAACAAATATCAAAATGCATCTCTGCGTCACTGACTTGCTTCCACACAGTGATTTCTTGATCGTTTCTCATGTTTAACTATCTAAAAACACTCCTAAACATCACGAAATCTTTCCGATCATAAATCATAATTCATGATTCAAATTCAAGGTAGATTTAAGAGTCAAGTTTTGAGAGTTCTTCCGAACATTTTGAGAAAGTCTATTTGAGTCTTTTTGAGCCCAAAGCAAATTAGGACGGGTCATGACCCAACTCAATTTTTATTTCTACCTATTTTAATATCTCCAATTTCAACTTAACCCGCCCTTTTGACAACCCTACTAATATCTATGAAATGGACTATTAACATTTTAAATCAAACTTAAAGTAATATACTATGAGATCAAAATTATGAAAAGTATAAGAAATATTTATAAATTATATCATAGTAAACACATACATATATAACTAATGCATAATATTTTAATTTGATTCAATTCATAAGTTGATGCGATTTTTTATTTGATTATGTTCACCCCTACTAACAATGTAGGGCCGCAGACCGTGGCTGTGGTGATAAATAATTAATGCATTCATCATTCACAATTGAAAATGGCATAATACATAAACATGACCATTAACTTGGCTTCAGTGAACAACTATGACCTCCAACTTTGAGTGTGCACATGTAGACACTTAAACTTGTATAAATTGAACAAGTAGACACATGTGTCCTACATGGCATAATACACGTAGGATGCCACGTAGGACACAAAATTGTCATGTAGGGCACCATGTAGGACGAATATGTCTATATTTGTTCAATTTTATACAAGTTTAAGTGTCTACTTGTGCACACCCAAAGTTAAATGTCATAATTGTCAGTTGACACCAAGTTAAGGGTCATGTTTATGTATTGTGCCATTGAAAACTAAAGAAAACTCTCAAGTAATGCATTCATCAGTCACAACTGAATAATTAATGCATTTATCAGCATTACTGAGAACTACAAAATTCAATAGTCACAATTGAAATGATCGAACTTGATAGGAAAGGAAAGAAAAAACTCTTTTAATAAAATATAAGTGGTTTGGGTCTTAAAATGTTGGGAATTTTTTGTAAATAGTCATTATAATAAATTTAATTATGCTTCATAATTATAGTTTGCATTTTCACGGGTTTGTATAATTTGTTGGTGAGTTTGTATAATTCGCGGGTACGTTTGTATAATTGAGTTGTTTTTGTATAGACTTGAAATAACGAATTTATACAAACACAAACATCTGAACTTTAAACAGTTATACAAATTATATTATACAAAATTACATTATACAAAAGTTATACAAATTATAT